ACATGTTAAATTACAAGTAGAAGCATGCTTTGACATTATTATATCACATACAAATTCGATGGGGACCCAACTTTTCTGTAGCTTTTTGACGCCCCTAGATTACATAACGAAGAGAGCACCCTAATGAAAATCATTTAAAACAAAGGTCACACTAATGATAATCATAAAATTTTTATACAAAATCATCACCACCAATCGGTTTCTACATCAATTACATCAACACAATTACCTCTATCACCTTTATCACCAACAACTCCACTTCCAACAAAATCACATTTTATATCACAGAAAACCTCACCTCCACAATCGCCACCATTAAGTCCATCAAAATCTTCACGTTTACCGACTCAATTACCCAGAGTAGGAAAACAACGTCATATGAACGAAGTTCTTCAACATTCTTCAAACTCAAAGAAAATAAGAAAAAGAGAACAATCTGAAGTAGGTACCGATACAACTCATATAATTAGTAATAATACAGCAAATCGCTCAGTAGGAAAGATAAAAATTTTAAAAATTGACAATGACAACAATAGCAATGCTTTATCTTCCACCACATCGTCCTTCTCAAATTCTACCACAAACTCAAATGATTTCAATTCTTTAATGAATAATAATCACGAAAGAAAAACCCTCATTAATATGAAAGTGCCTTCAACATACATTCACAAAGGTCATTTTTGCCAAGATTCATATAACGGAATTATTTTTGGAAATAGAGAAAGCATTAACAATAATAGCGATAATTACGATCGAAATTCTGTCGATTCAGCAGATAAAATTTCATTAGTCGACAGAATTTGTTCATTACAGACCTGAAGAAAAAGAACTCGGAAAACCATGTGCTTTGACATCCGATGAATGCTTCTTTTTTATATATAAAATTTTTCTTTTTTAGATATATTACATATTTTTTTGTATATAAATACATAGAACTAGCACAGTTTTTTGTTTTATTTTCTTGTATCATTACGATCATATTATTATTAATAATTGTAACTCGTTCTTCTATTTAACTTTTTGTTTGATTATTTGGAATGGTGTGTGGAAAATCAATTGGTGATTGATTTTGTGTATAAAAGAATAAATGAGGTGTTCACCATAAAATAATAAATATTTTGATTATATATAATTACAAAATACCCGTTAAAAGGTCAACGTAGCTTAAAGGTAGAGCCAGTCCTTGTAAACTGAAGGTCGGTGATTCACCCGTCTTTCGGCTTACGTGAAAAAAAATCTCTCATGCAAAAAAAATATAATAAATATGCTTAAATTATTATATCATCATTATCATGATTATCATAAACTACCAAGATAAATCCAAATCTGATCCACTACTATTCAACCTATATATCTTATCAATATAATTATCAGCCTCATTCATTAATCTTTCTAGATTAAATCTTGAAATAGCCCTT